ACTTGAATTGAGCTTGTTTAGTTCAATAACGAACTGAAAGAGGAAAGTTGAGTGAGGGAAAAAGGCAAGAGGTGTGAGCAACACTTGAGAGAAAAACCAAGTTCTACAGTGTGTAAAATACGAGTGTTGAGTGCCATTCTGTGAGAGAGTGGAGTGAAACACGTAAGGGAGTGTTGTGAGGTCCTTTTATTTTCTGTTTCTAACATTCCTTGCAGGTTTCAATCATGTCAAGCGGTGATGACAGAAAACACCAAGTGGATGATTCCTTCATGCTCAAAGCTATCAACAACAATTTGGTGAGATTAAAGACTAAATGGAGAAGAAAGATGCAGCCATTGCCAAGTTATACCAAATACAGAATGGAAGTCCAAATTTGCATAATCACGATCTTGATGACAATGATGAAGACGCATTCAATGATGATGCCCAGAACTCAAATTTCAGCATGGACAGATTTATGAGAAGTAGAGGGGGTCAAAGATATAGATTTAAAAAACGAGACCAAAATCTGACAAGGTGGGGAGATCGGCAAGATCATGACTTAGGTAGCATCAAGATGAAGATTCCTCCATTCCAGGGCAAAAATGATCCAGATGTGTATTTGGAGTGGGAAAAGAAGGTCTGTGATTTTGACGCAAACTGTGTAATTCCATGCAAATGACTTCAACTAAGCTTCTCTTGAACCTGAATGATGTTTACCATGCCTTGACAATCATCCAAGCTTCGATTTGCTTGTTGTATGTTGTTTTCAACCCCGATCTGCTCAATAAGGCCATTTAAAGCTTCACGCATCTTCTTAGCTCTATCTCGTGTAACTGGACCTCCTTGGGTGTGTAATGGATCACATGACGTAGTAGATATGCTGTCGTCTTGATTCCCATCATCGGTGTTGAAATTTGTATGAGATTGTTGAGAATTAAATTATATTTAGTAAATTGTTAGATTTGTTGCTTGTTATGCCATGATTGTTTGTTGGATTTTGAATTGAAAGTTTATATTCTGTGCAAATTGTTACTTGAGCCAAATGAACCCTAATTTTGTTATTATATCTTCATGTGTTTGATTTGCTTTTGCCCATTTTTGCAATCAAGTCATGTTTTTGGATTGGGTTATCCGACCCTTCCATATTGGTTTACATACTTAAAAAATTAAAAATAAAAAAAAAAAAAAAAATAGCAAATGAAGTATGAGAATCGGTTTAATATGTGATTAATGAAATTAATTAAATTTAATTAGAATAAATTAATTATATTTATTGGTTTTAATTAAAGTAATTAGATTTGTCTAATTATCTTAATTAAATTTGTCTAATTGTTTTAATTAAATGCTAATAAATATAATTAATTAACTTTAATTACTATTAAACTAATCATCTAATTAACTTAATTATCACAATCAATTGATGTTAATTTGTTTACCTTCTTTAATCTAAGTTAAAATTCTAAAAGTAAAAAAATTACCTTTCTTTCGTCTCGGTTTCACCCAAAACTTCTATGATTGAGTAATTTGGTCTGTTAGCATACAAATAAAATTAAATCAATCTATTAAAAATATAATTTTTATCAAATTAGTCCTTTAACATTTAGTTCCTTACAATTATGCATGCATGTTTTTAGTTTTATACGACTTAGCCCAAAAGTCTTTCAAATGTCACATTTTGTCCATTCTAATTTCAAGTTAATTAAAACACCAATGTTAAAGTATAAAATCCTATTTACACAAAGGATTGTGATGTGTGCGTGTGCCTTTCATCATTCCTAACCAAACCCCAAACCTCAATCTCTACGCAAACCCGTTTTAGGTGACTTTGATTTTAGGTAATCTTTTGAAGTAGAGGGTTTTGGGAGAAGATAGTGAGGGTAATAAACGGAACTTGGTCTAGAGGGTGGGATCCCTCCTTTCAAAAATGGATCTACCATTTTCTTGAAATTTCCACCTTAGATTTTTCTCTCTCTTTTCTCTTTGCTGGACTGTGATATTCTAATGATCGGTGTTGAAATTTGTATGAGATTGTCGACAATTGAATTATATTTAGTAAATTGTTGGATTTGTTGCTTGTTATGCCATGATTGTTTTGTTGGATTTTGAATTGAAAGTTTATGTTCTACGAAAATAGTTGCCTGAGCCAATTGAACCCTAATTTTCTTATTATATCTTCATGTGTTTGATCTGCTTTTGCCCATTTTTGCAATCAAGTCATGTTTTTGGATGAGAATTGGTTTAATATGTGATTAATGATATTAATTAAATTTAATTAGAATAAATTAATTATATTTATTGGTTTTAATTAAAGTTATTAGATTTAACTAATTATATTAATTAAAATTGTCTAATTAGCTAATAAATATAATTAATTAATTTTAATTAATTTTAATTAATATTAAACCAATTATCTAAATAAGCTAATTATGACGATCAATTGATGTTCATTTGTTTACCTTCTTTAATCTAAGTCAAAATTTTAAAAGTCAAAAAATTACCTTTCTTTCATCTTGATTTCACCCAAAATTTTTATGATTGAGTAATTTGGTCGGTTTCATTTTCAAAAAAATTTAAATCCGTCCTTTAAAATTATAATTTTTATCAAATTAGTCCTTTAACACTTTGTTTCTTGCAATTATGCACGCATGCTTTTAATTTTATATGATCTAGCCCAAAAGTCTTTTAAATGTCACATTTTGTCCATTTCATTTTCTAGTTGAATTAAAACCCCAATGTCAAAGTGTGCAATGGTATTTACACGGAGGATTGTGAGGTGCGCGTATATCATTCTTCATTCTTAACCGAACCCCGAACCCCAAACCCCAATCTTTACGCAAACCTATATTTTAGGTGACTTGTCCCATCTCACAATTTGGACAAGTAGCAACTCCTTCTTTTTATACATTTCACACTTAATTTTTCATCATTTTTCTTTAATTTGGAAATCTTAAATGATCGTCAACAGATGTTAGGTAATCTTTTAAAACAAAGAGGTTTTATGAGAAGGTAGTGAGGGTAATGAATGGAACTTGTTCTAATGGGTGGGATCCCTCCTCTCGAAAACAGATCTACCATTCTTTTGAAATTTCCACATTAGATTCTTCTTTTTCTTTTCTCTTTGTTGTACTGTGATATTCTAACGATTGGTGTTGAAATTTGTATGAGATTGTTGAGAATTGAATTATATTTAGTAAATTGATAGATTTGTTGCTTGTTATACCATGATTGTCTATTGGATTCTAAATTGAAAGTTTATATTCTACAAAAATTGTTGCTTGAGCCAATTAAACCCTAATTTTTTTATTATATCTTCATGTGTTTGATACGCTTTTGCCCATTTTTGCAATCAAGTCATGTTTTTGGATTGGCTTATCCGACCCTTCCATATTGGTTTAATTACTAAAAAAAGTAAAAATAAATAAATAATAGCAAATTAAGTATGAGAATCGATTTAATATGTGATTAATGATATTAATTATATTTATTGGTTTTAATTAAAGTAATTAGATTTGTCTAATTATCTTAATTAAATTTGTATAATTGTTTTAATTCAAAGCTAATAAATATAATTAGCTAATTTTAATTAATATCAAACCAATCTTCTAATTAAGTTAATTATGATGATCAATTGATGTTCATTTGTGTAATAACCCAAATTTTCGAGAATTTTATCATTTAAGTTAGGGACTTATTTTGAGAAAAATATTGTTTGGGGCCTAATAGTGAAAATTCTCAAACTTGAGGGACTTAAAAGAGAAAAGAATTGGATAAGGATGGGCTGATTTTTTTTCCTTCTTTCTTTCTTCTTCAGCCCGCGTGTTCTACTCATTCTTCTTCTCCCCTGCACCGAACAAGAGCCCCAGCCATCGACACAGCACCCACCCTCAAGAAACGGTAAGAGAGCTTGATTTTTCCTTTCTTTTCTTGTTCAAGAACAAGATTTGGAGCCTTGAAACCTCCCCCCTGCAGAGAAATTCAGGATCTGCTCTGCTCTGTTACTTCTATTTCTATCCACTGCTCTTCATTGTGTGGGTGTGAATTCTTCAAATTTTTGGGTAAGAAACAGCCACTAATTCCTTTTTTCTTCCTTGAATTAGCTTGGGTTTACTCTAATTTCTCTTGGTTCCTCCCAATTTTCGGTAGATTCCCCTAAATTTCCCAGCACTTCCCGCCGGCTCTCCCCCAAACCTGCCAGCTCCGGCCTTACTTGCTGAACTTTTGGTATGTGATAGCCCCCTTTAAGCCTAAAATTATCCATTAGCTGCTGAGTCTATCCATGTGATTGCTGCCCTGTATCTTCGAATTTTCTACTTTTAATCTGCTCCTGTGCTATCGGAAGTTTCTACTGGAAAAGGGAAGAATTTCGGCAGCATTAGGTTGCGTTTTTTTTTTTTTTAGTTTAATTTATGTAGAATTCCCTTGAATTGGCTGCTATGATGCTATTTATGAAGATCCCGTGTCTTAGCCTCTGTTTTTGCAAAAGACAAATGATTTACATACAAGCCATGTTTTCCCATTTTGTGTCTGTGGGATTGGGAAACCAAATTGGTGAAATTTGGCTCTAAAACCTCTTGTTTAAGAGATTTTTGGATATTATGATTTTATTTAAAAATATTTGGACCTTGGGTAGATATACGGTTTTGAATAAAAGTGAGTTATATTATGGCTGAATTTCGTGTGAAGCTCATTGGTTAGTAAATGTGTGAGGTTGTGCTAATAATTCTAGTAAGGTCTGAATGTATTTATTTGGAATATTAGGTGCTGTTATGGCTTAGAGCACTTGGATTGAGTCCTTGGTTTTATGCGATTTGAGGTAAGTAAATTATGGTAATGCCCTCCGATTTTAAAGCACATTTTAGCTTGTTTTTGAAGTGGTGGCGTGACTAAACCCATTTTACACAAGTATGATCGATTTGAAATGAAATTATTTTTTTTTTATTGATTTGAGCATACCTTCTTAGAGTTTACTTAACTGCCCTGATGATCTGGAAATTATGTGTGAATTATGATTTTCCTATTAACTTCTACTTGGTTATGTCTCCGATATGGTCATGTTATTTGTGTGCCCGCTAGTGGGAGGTTTATAAATGCTAGCACATGTCGACATGTATTTCTGTAGAGCCGGTTCCTCCTGCCAGTGGGAGTTGTTAAACACTGGTATTTCTGTAATCCTGCTAGTGGGATTATACACTAGTAAATCTTGTGCCTGCCAGTGAGAGGTTTATAACACTGCCATGACCTATAGAGAAGACATCTATTTCATTTCCGTACTCATACCTGTTTTTTCGTGATTATACTTGTTGGCATGCTATAATTTTAATTAAGTGTTATCCATATTTACTTACTGAGTTATCTCATAGTTTTTCCTTGTCCACCATTTCAGGAAATGAAGTTAAGGACAGGGAAAAATGAGGGGAGTGACGAGTTAGAAGGCTAGCCATCTTGTAAATTGAACATAGATTTTAGATATAAATCATGATCTTGTAAGCTAGACTTTATTTGGAGATTTTATGATATTGGAGCAAATTTTATAATTTTATCTTCAGATTTTGTGGTATCAGAGTGTGGTATGATAAGTTTCGAGCCTTGTGCATTTGTGGGACCCTCTCACAAGTGCATGGCGTTTGTCGCGCCTCGAATTTGGGTTTTGGGGCATGACGATTTGTTTACCTACTTTAATCTAAGTTAAAATTTTAAATGTCAAAAAATTACCGTTCTTTCATCTAGATTTCACCCAAAACTTTTATGATTGAGTAATTTCATCCGTTTCGCTTTCAATTAAATTTAAATGAATCATTTAAAATTATAATTGTTATCAAATTAGTCCTTTAACACTTTGTTTCTTGCAATTATGCATGCATGTTTTTAATTTTATACGATCTATCCTAAAAGTATTTCAAATGTCACATTTCATCCATTTCATTTCAAGTTGAATTAAAACCCCAATGCTAAAGTATGCAACGGTATTTACACAGGGGATTGTGAAGTGTGCGTATACCTTTCTTCATTTGTAACAGAACCCTTGAACCCCGAACTATATGTAGACCTGTTTTAGGTGACTTGTCTCATCTCACAATTTGGACAAGTAACAACTTCTCTTTTTTTTTTTTATATTTTTCACACTTAATTTTTCATCATTTTTCTTTAATTTGGAAACCTTAAGTGGTCATCAATAGATTTTAGGTAATCTTCTAAAACAGAGGGGGTTTTTGGGGAAGGTAATAAGGGTAATGAACGATACCAGGTCTTGTGGGTGGGATCCCTCCTTCCAAAAATAGATTTGCCTTTTTCTTGAACCTTGGATTTTTCTTTTTCTTTTCTCTTTGCTATACTATGATATTCTGATGATCGGTGTTGAAATTTGTATGAAATTGTTGAGAATTGAATTATATTTAGTAAATTGTTAGATTTGTTGCTTGTTATGCCATGATTGTTTGTTGGATTTTGAGTTGAAAGTTTATATTTTGCCAAAATTGTTGCTTGAGCCAAATGAACCCTAATTTTCTTATTATATCTTCATGTATTTGATCTGCTTTTGCCCATTTTTGCAATCAAGTCATGTTTTTGTATTGGGTTATCCAACCCTTCCATATTGATTTAAATACTAAAAAAATAAAAAATATATAAAAAATCACAAATTAAGTATGAGAATCGGTTTAATATGTGATTAGTGATATTAATTAAATTTAATTAGAATAAATTAATTATATTTATTGGTTTTAATTAAAGTAATTAGATTTGTCTAATTATGTTAATTAAATTTTTCTAATTGTTTTAAGGGTTAAAGCCAACCATCATTCCTCTACTTTTGATTTTTATTCATGTCCATCCCTCTGCTAAGTTTTTGTTCATTGTCATCCCTCTACTTCACCAAAAGCAGTAAGTTTCGTCCCTGTACTCCAATTATTTTGTTCGTTGTCACCCTTTTTCTAATGGAGTTGCCTTAGTCATCTATTTGAACCATTTAATCCACAAACCGGTCAATTGTTAAAGCATTTCTTGGATTTTTTTTTTTTTTTCCATATGTGCTGCCAACTAGGAGGAGAGAAGCACCCCCTTCGTCAATGTGCTGCTCCACTTCTTTTTTCAAATTCAATCATTTATGTTGTTAATTTCTAGTCTTATCTCTCATATTTATTTATTTTTACAGTAATTCACGTTTAGCCCAGCTATTATGAATTGGCAATTTTTAGTTAGAGAGATGAAGTATATTTAATACTATTATATAATGTATTAGTAAGTATACATGTTGAGTTGATAAATTGTGATGCTTTAAATTTTGTATTGACTAGAAATGTAAATGTAAAGATTCATTATTACTGATAACTTAATGTTAAATTTTAAGTGTTCATAAAGTTAGCTTCAAAAGTTGTTAAAATTATTTTAATGAATTTGTTTAATAGGTTTTAAAGCATATATTAAGGGTATATTTATTGTATATTTTCAAAATTTATATGAAAAAATTATGAAAGTAAATTATATTTTTATTATCAATCCCACATGAAATATTTTAATTAAATAGTTAATAAAACTATAGTTAATATTTATTTTTTCATACAAATTAATGATGAAAGGATACACATGTTAAAAAAGTTCTTTTTTAATAGAGGGCCTTTCTAATATGATCTATTAAATATACTAATTTATTATAAATTTGTATTGAAAAAATAAAAATTGACTTCTAATTTATCAATTTTTTAAATTAAATTTATCCACTTGATATCAATATTAAAATTAATATCAATTTTTAGATTTTTCTATATGTATTTATGCAAAAAAAGTTAGTTAAAAAAACTTTTAATATTTGCCTTAAGTAAACAATTAAAAGTGTAATTAATGCACTTTTTAACTATTAAGTTATGTGATGGGAATCAAGACGACAGCATATTTACCACGTCATGTGATCCATTACACACCCAAGGAGGTCCAGTCACGTGAGTTAGAACTAAGAAGATGCGTGAAGCTTTAAATGGCCTTATTGAGCAGATCTGGGTTGAAAACAACATACAACAAGCAAATCAAAGCTTGGATGATTATCAAGCCATGATAAACATCATTCAGGTTTAAGAGAAGCTTAATTGAGGTCATTTATGCTAAATTACACAGTTTGCGTCAATCTCGCAATTCTGTCGCAATTTGTAACAAACTGATATTTCATGTTATTTTAGGCTACTTTTAGTGATTTTCACGTTTTTTATATTATTTTGGGCTGAACATTCATTTATTTAAGGCCCAATTCGTGGTTATTATGATTAGGGCTTAAGGTGTTAGTTTCCTATTCTGATTAGAATTACTTTTCCCTATTTAAAGGGGCTTGTAACCCTAATTGAGGAGGCTATTGAATCTGAGATTTTTGAGAACTTTTCTCTTTGGCTCGTTTCAGAACTTTACAGAACTTATCAAGATTATTCTTGTGGCGTTCTAACCTGACTTATCTTCTTGTTCTTAATCGTTCGAGGGTGTGGCGTCAACCAACTTTATACCTCTGGTTCTTGTTGCGTCATAGACAACG